ACTCCATGGGGTTCCACTTCTGGACTAGACTGTTGCCTTTGCTACAGAGCAAGCCATTCAGATGACTATAATTATACCACCACGCTGCGACAGGCTGCTAGCATCTCAGGGGCACTCGCGACCGGCAGCATGGAGGCAGGCACAGAACCCTGTGAACACATCAGGGGAACGGTACGCTTGGTCACGTCACAAAGCTTTGGTAGGTGGCTTGCAGACTCCAGAAAATTTTGGTTTCTGCTTACTCAGGGTGAGACCTGAGTGTTGCACTAACGGGCATGTAGCTGTGGCATCAGTCCTCCCCTCAAATCAAACAGTTCCTTCCCAGTTCAACCCAGAGTCAGCAATAAATGGGCGAAATAAAAATTTCAAAGAGCTTCAGTGCAGGGAACCTCTTTGTCACATCTGACGTACTTGTCATGTATTCGAAGATGAGAATGCCAGGGTGGGGTAAGAGAGCCAAAGTCCGTGGCTCCACTAGTGATTTTACAGACCAGTCTGCCGCATGGCACTTTTTTCTTTCAATTCTCAAAGCTACTCAAAGTATTGGGTAGCTGCTTTAACTTTTCATGGTTTTTTCTGAGCCATATATATACTTAAAAAAAAAAAAAAGGAGGGAGGAAAAGAAAAAACTCATCACCGAAACTAAAACTCGTCATCTAAAAGCGGTGAAAGATTAATAGGAATGTAGGTCCAGAGACAGCCAGAGCCATGCACAGACTCCAGTTTATGCTAGCTTTTTCCAGAGGTGTCACTAAGAGCAAACCACTGTGAATGGAGTTTATCCACCTCTGATTTCAGCAACATAATATTTACCCACTTCTTACAGATACCAGACAGGTGAGTAATTTACCACTGCACTACTGCATGGCTCTGTAGTCACTGGGTAGCCACTTACACGAGCAGAAATTGTCCAGCTCTTATTTCAGGGATGGATCCAAACTTCCGCAAAGGCTTTTTCATTTCCTTCACATAAAGTCCTGTTCTAACACATTAATGACATGTAGCTTAGATGACATGAGCAGTGGAACTCTTCCAAAATATATTTAGTTTCCTGTCAGAAAGCGTTGCGTGCCCTCACACAGGAAATTATAAAATAGAAAACAAACATGTAAATATACCATTTCAACACATCCTCTACATCAAAGCAGACCTGATGGTTTCAATTTCAGCTTTGTGAGGTTTTGTTTTTATAAGTTGCTGAATTGATTTTGTAGCTCCTGTTTATGAAAAGAACTTTAAGAGAGTTATAAATTACATTTATCAAACGAAGAAAAACTACAGCTATAAAGTTCTCAAAAAAAGGAGATCGTGTGAACCCTGTATGAGCGCTCATGCGGGCACACACACACACAAACTTACATATATTTATAAGTTAGTAACTGCTGGCTGAACCACAGACCGCATGCAAAAGAGTAAAAACCACCCATAACCAGATGTGCCACTGCAAATCGCGTATTTTAGGATATATTCTATGAAATCCTCAATGCACTGGAAGACAGAAGTTCCCACAGTATTAGTAGCAGCGATATGGATTCCTAGAAAGACCAACTACCTTCACATACCTAAAAACAATCCAAGATCCGACCGGGAGGTAGGGCCCTTGTGAAGTAGAGGGAGGGTTTACCGGAGTGAAAACACATGATTTTGAAAACCGTCCAGCACAACACAGAAGTGAGAACAACAGTGACACATCACTTCAAACCTCCCAAGAACCGAAGGGCCACGGAAGGAATTCCACCCTTTCCCACGGAGTTATGTGTAAATACACAAGCGCTGTACTTCGACTGAGCGCGTCGACGTGTGGCTTGCAGAGCTACGCAGAGCCACCATTTTGCTATGAAACAGCGGCCTCAGGTTGCACTCGAATTTTCCTGTGGTAGGAAAGCATAGCGGCGGGCCGCTGTAGCTAAATGCTTCTGTTCTCTACTCTATCCTCAGCTGAATAGGAAACCCCAATTCAAAAGTTTCCTTCGAGCTACAAAAATAAAGCAAAGCTGTTTCCAGGGAATGGAAAAAAAGTCATTTCCACAGTCCCTGTCCAGCTATGAATACACTATGTAAGACCGAATACTTTTTTCACCTCAGAGTATCTCTCACTGATCTAGTAGAGCAAAGTTTGTTGATATTCAGGGTTGCAAACCATCTGTTTACTCAGGCTTTTGTCTGTCAGCACAGTTTGAAGAGGTCGCTTTGAGAGATCAATTTTTTTTTCCTGGGGGTTTCTTCAGAGCTACCACAATTTGCTATTGCGTCTGTTTAGAGGATTTAATTTGTGGTTTTCAAGATTGCGTAATGGCACAGAGAGGTGGTGAGAGGCCCACATGAAGAGTTCAAAATAAGTTTGACAATGTAGTAAATATCTGCTCAGTAATTTTCCCTGGACCAAGCACCACAGAGTGCCAAAAAAGTTATTAATCAGGCCAGTGTATGAACGTGGCTTTATGAGGACTGGAGCACACATTTCCATTCAGATGCTAAAATGCTTAAACTCCCTTGACTTGCTGTTGACTCCGACCAAAGACAGTGCACTGGGGGGCTCTGAACCAGGCACCTGACTAGATTGCTCTAAAACAGCCTCTTCAGAAGCAGATAAAGAAAAAACAAAATGAAATTTTAATTTTGCCTTTTATTCAGAGTTCTCGTAACAAGTGACATCATAAAAATGAACTAAGCCGCCCAGACTCCCATCAGGAGGCTCAGCCTTCATTTTTCCGCTTTGCAGATGTCAGACAGGAGGCACGGAGACACGCACAGTGACATTCGCACATGGCGCGGGCAGCACCCAGGGGGAGTTGCGGGACCTCTGGGAATCTGCAGCCAGAGACCTGGCAGAAATGGGGCGCTCAGGACACGTACGCACA